TTTTTCTCCCCTCCCTCTATCTCTTCCTCTCCCTTCCTCTTTCCCCCCCTTTCCTCCTTCCCTCCCTCCCTTCCTTCCTTCCTTCCTTCCTTCCTTCCTTCCTTCCTTCCTTCCCACTAGAGGGAAGAAAGAAGAAACTGCTGCCAACTGTCAGAAATGGGGTAGGGTCTCCTGCTTGGGCAGGAGGTTGGACTAGATGACCTACAAGGTCCCTTCCAGCTGTACTCTGAATTAATTAAAGTGGTGGGAGCTTCACCACTGGAGGCCTTCAAAAAGAGATTGGACTCCCATCTGTCAGAAATGGGGTAGGATCTCCTGCTTGGGCGGGGTGGATGGGTGGGTTGGACTAGATGACCTCCAAGGTCCCTTCCAGCTCTATTCTGAAATTAAACTGGTGGGAGTTTTACAGCTGGAGGCTTCCAAGAAGAGACTGGACTGGCCATCTGTCAGAAACGGCGTACGGTCTCCTGCTTGGGTGGGTGGGTGGGTGGGGTTGGACTAGATGATCTCCAAGGCCCCTTCCAACTCTGTTAATCTGTTAAAAAAAAAAAAAAGGAAAATAAGAGAAACAGAGGCTTCCCTGCCCTCCATCCCTCCCTCGACCGATAATGGCATCATGTTGTGACTACAAAAGGATGTGACACCTTTGTGTGCAAAGCACACTGGCCTCTCCGGAGCAATTTTTAGCAAAAATCAAAATAAAAAAAGAACCGCAGAGAAAACAAGCAGATTTTCAGGATTCCTTGAGAAGAAAAATGGGGATTTCTTTTTAAGCGCCCGGCCTCCGTCCAACCATTGGCACCACAACCCCGAAAGCCTGGCATACACACCCCAAACCGAGGCCTCCCCTTTTCAAACAACCAGACTGCGTTGTTTCTCTGGGACGTAGAGTGGATGGGGGTAAACGCACAACATTGCAATTATTTATTTTGTCATATTTATACATAGGTAGTGTGTGTTGGCGTGCAACGAAATTTCATTTTAACGTCTGTTGATTAGGGTACCTTCAAAGTCACAGTAAAGTTATTCTAAGTCGAAGGGAGGGAGGGAGGAGAATGAGAAAGGGAACGAAAGGGGAGGAAGGAAGGAAGATGAGAAAGGGAAGAAGGGGAAGGAAGGAAGGA